CCTGTCACGGCAGCAAAAGTAGCACGAGTTTCTCAAAATTACTCCTCGGTGTTCACAAAACTGCCCAGGATGCGCTGATGCCCAGCAGTACACAGCCCACCCCTCAAACATGGCTCCTGTGGGTGGTGATAAATCACACGCATCAGCACGATGTGTCGGCGATGGACTATGCTCGGATGCAGTCACAGTGGCAAGACCTCAACTGTGGGACTCCTTTCAAGAACTGATGAGACAGAGTCACAGTGGCAAGACCTCAACTGTGGGACTCCTTTCACGAAGTGATGAGACAGAACTCGACCAAAGGGTGAGGCTTGAGGGCGGGGGGCTGGACTCGATGACCTCTCGAGGTCCCTTCCAGTCCTATTATTCTATGATTCTATGATTCTAGGGCCAGCCAGTGGGGCCGATCGCCACCATTGGCCCCAGAGAAAGGTGGGAGGAGGGCACAGCTCCGCGCCTCCGGAAGGGGCGGGGCTGAAGGCAGAGGAGGCGGGGCGTAGGGCAGTCAGCCCTTAGTGCTGCTCAGACTGCCACTGCTGTCAAAGTAGCAACAGTGACGGCTGGGAGCTCCAGGCCCCTTTGAAACACCGGGCCCTTGTGCAATTGCCCCCTTTGCCCTCCTGGATGCATCAGGTAGCCACTTCCAGCTCCCTTATTCAGAAATCACCACAGTTGCTCCAGCTTCTGTTTGAATTAGCGCAACCCGGGGGTCCCCTGTTCACCTCGGGTGGTTTCCTCTTCCTATCCCATGGCTTTTCCCCAAGAGCGGCCAATCTAGGCCCCACAGCGCAAATGAAATGCATCTCTTAAATGGAGAACGCCCGCTCTCTTTAGGCCCGAGGCGCTGGTTTCTAAGGAAAGGATCTGTCGACGCTTTTAATCGTGCTCTACTTTGGAAGTAGAGACGCAAGCGTAAGGCCCTACCAAATTCATGGCCATGAAAAACAGACGGTGAAAGCTGATCTCCCCCTGTGGAATCTGGACTTTTCTGTGCTTTCCCCCTATATGATACAGACTTCATGGGGGAGGCCAGTGGTTCTCACATTGGGGTCCTGATGAGAAAGGGAACTGCAGGGTTATGGTTGGGAGGTGTGGTGCTGCCAGCCTTACTGTCACATTGCTCTCAGAGCTGGGCATCCAGAGAGTGGTGGCTGCTGACTGAGGGTCCAGCTCTGCAGGTGTAAAGGTGGCAAGGCCATCCTATGTCAGCCTTACTCCTGCATGGCCCTGCCTTCACACCTGGGCTCCCGGCCAGCAGCCACCAATCAGCAGCTGCCCAGCTCTGACAGCAGCACCACCAGCAGCAATGCACAAGTAAGGGTAACAGTTCCACCCCCTCTACAATAACCTTGTGACCTCCCCCCCCCCACTCCTATTCGGGTCTGGAGAGGACCCCTACAACACCGTGACATTTCAGATTTAAATAGCTGAAATAATGTAATTTACCATTTTCAAAATGGCCATGAAATTGATCAAAATGGACCATGATTTTGGTAGGGCCATATATATAATCTATCCATGCATTTTTCCACCTAAAGATAGTTACCTTCCTAAGAAATTTCCACCGGGACTTCCTGGCTCTATCCATAGAGAGATCCAGAGACAGGAAGTACTTCATGATTCACCCATGTGGTCAAGGGTGGAACTGGCAGAGCTTCACTGAGATCATGGGAGTGCAACTCTCATCACGAATCCGGTCCCATGATCTCTCCTGCATACAGATACCACTTGTGTAACTAGACTAGGAGACAAAACTGCACTGAAATGTCATTCTCTGCCTTTTGCTATGGTTCATCTGCTATAAATAACCATCATCTGCAAGTCTGCTGAGCAATAAATAAAACCATTAGCTAAGCTAGCAGACTGCACGCTTTGGCTATTGACTAAAGCATATGAAAATATTACACGTTAACATAGTCCTGGTAGGTTTTTGTATGTATCATTATTTAAAGTTCTTGTCTCTTACACGGGGCATTTTAAAAATTCATTCTGCACCAGTGAAAATCCTAAGTCATTCAGTGGTAACGGAGCTAGTGCTGACTTTCAGAGATGCCACTGAGAGCCGAGTTGGGCACTTAGTTTTCACTGTATTCCTCAAGCTCAGTCATCGGTAAGACATTTCCTTTCGCAAGAATGCTCTGGCAAGATCAGAAACGAGCTACTGCTGGTATATGGCCAATTAAAGTTCTGCTAATTTAGAGGTACTTGCATATATCCCCAAAAGATTGCAGATTCTGTCCGTTCTGCTAATTTAGAGGTACTTGCATATATCCCCAAAAGATTCACCTTCTGCAGCAGATTCTGTCTCCAGCAGTTAGCCACATCCATCCTGACTCAGCTGGCCTCGTTAACACTGGTCCTACACTTGATAACACTGGTCCTACACTGGTCCTACACTTCTTTTGATATGCTGGACCGTGAGTGGTTGTGTACTATATATCCTACCTCTGTGATTTCCACTCCATGCAGCGGATGAAGTAGTTTATATTCATGAAACTTTTAAGCCCAAATAAATCTGTTAGCCTTTAAGGTGCCACAGGATTTTCCTTGTTCGTTTTACTGAAACCAGAGTTGCACCTGATGATCACTAGATTGGAATGTGGTCTGACCGTTGGAAAGATTGGGATAAATTTCGTGCTAGCTACACCGAACAGAGCTCCACCAGGAAGCCCGTGGAGCTGTACGTATGGTACAGATCACACAGACTGATCCGCAGCTCACTGAAGTCAGCGGAAAGATGCTCATTGACGTCGCTGGATTTTTGATCAGACCCTTGGATTTACAGCTGGTGTCATCCCAGGACAACAATATGCTGGAAGGAGGGAAAAGTCTCCTATAGAAGTAACATTCCTACAGGACTTGCTTTATCTCCTCTTTGGCCTCCATAAAACCACCAACCATAACGTGTGGTCTGGTATCATAGCCCCTGTTAGCATGAGAAGATCTTGTGTCCCTTCCCCATACTGAAATGTAGATTCAGACAGTGAGGACTAAAAATCAATAAACCTCCCAGTAGCACTAAATGCGGCTTGCTCTCTTCTCCAAAAACAAAATATTATTTCCAAAACGCTAACAAAATAAAGGTATTTTGCGACTCCTTCCATGTATTTATCCACTATATGATGCGTTTCTTCTTGTGCTCGATGCTAAGTGAATGAAATTACGTGCCTGGGTAGGGCCCTACACAATTCATGGTCCATTTTGGTCAATTTCGCTTTTATAGGCTTTTTTAAATGGCAATTTCACCATTTCAGCTCTTGAAATGTGAAATTTCAGTGTTGTTGTTGTGGGGGTCCTGACCCCCAAACCGCTGTGGGAGGAACACAAGGTTATGAGAGGGGGAGCTGTAGCACTGCTACCCCTATTTCTGTGCTGCTGCTGGCAGTGGTGCTGCCATCAGAGCTGGGCAGCTGGGGCAGGCAGCTGCTGGCTGTGAGCACGGTAAGGTATTGCCACCCGTACGTCTTCTCTGCTGCTTTCTGAGGTGGACTCGTCAGCAGCCACCCTTCTCCAGGCACCCAGCTCTGAAGGCAATGCAGCTATAAGGGTGCCCCCTTAACTATACTTGGGAAACCCCTGCACTTCCCTTTGGGGTCAGAACCTCCAGTCTGAGACACACTGGCCTTCCCTTGTGACATCTGTGTAGTACAGGGTAAAAGCACAAGAGCAGATTGCACGGCAAGAGACCAGATTTCAAGGTCCGTGATGCCTTTTTCACGGCCATGAATTGGGTAGGGCCCTGTGCATAGGGCTCTCAGGCTCTCCTCTTATCCCCACAGGGAAACATTTATAGATATCGATAGCGTTTCATTTGCTTCTCTTTCTAAACTCCAATGAGGGCATGAATCAATCAGCTTCCATTGTAGGCGAGGTTACAGCCTTGAGTAATTCCATCGAATACTGTATTGGGTGTTGCACTGATTACTCCACAAAGTTCCACTTGCTACAAGGCCAGTGAAATGCAGAGCAAAAGCAAGGTGACCAATATTTAATTAGCTATCTGCCACTGTCACCAAAGTGCAAAGTGGCTATCCAATTCAAATTAACATTTCAGAACAGGAAACAGGATGGTCGATGGCTTCCCTAAGAACGGCCGTACTGGGTCAGACCAAAGGTCCATCTAGCCCAGTGTCCTGCCAGCCGACAGTGCCCACGCCAGGTGCCCCAGAGGGAAGGAACACAACAGATAATCCTTACGTGAACCCTCCCATCACCCATATCCAGAGAAACAGAGGCTAGGGACACCATTCTTACCCATCCTGGCTAACAGCCCTTGATAGACCTAACCTCCATGAATATATCTAGTCCCATGAAGTATTAACAGGAAACCAAAGCTATGCATAACCTATTCAGTCTTTAAAAGATGCTTATGCTAAACAATTTTGCATAAGAATGGCCAGAAAGAGATGACAGTAAATTAAATTTGACTGTAAAAATGCAATTCCAATCTCCTGATTTAGACTTGTAGTCATTTTCCCATGCTTGCTGTTAGTTTGAGTAGCACGCCATTACAAACACTGCAGCATCTGCAGCACCTTGCAGAGGTGAGCCCCTGGTCAGAAAGAGTTTAAGATGATGAATCGTGGCTGAATCATACCTATAAGTATCCATTATAGCCCTAGGGTCCCACACAGTATGGATGATAAACTGCAGGATTTCACAACTATCCACCATCTCTCTACCCACAGAAGTCAGGAATTCTGGAATGAGGGCTTCTCATGTGTCCTACATCGAAATGAGGAGAAATGGCTTTCTCTTATCCTAGATATTCTGGAAACATTTTATTTGCTTTTGAAAAAACTCTGCCTTCAACTCATGCAAAAATGCATGTAACTACACAATAGACACGCTACTGTGTATTCCCCAAATTAGTCTGGCGTAGCTAATGAGCCCAGCCCATTTATAGTTGTGAAGTGTCTGGGTGCCATTGTTACCGAGATATTTTCTAGTGTTCACAGTACAGAAATTTGATCGTTCCTTCTCCTTTCCGCATAACTTACTGGTCTGGACCGGATTTCTTTGGCGTAGAGAGGTTTCAAGAATTCTGAATCACCTTCTAGCTTCAGACCTTTCTCTGTGATTCTCAGGTTCCCCATTCCATCCTGAAATACACACACAAACACATACACATACACAAAAAAAGCCCTATTAGCTCTGATTTCTAAATACCCGTGTGAGGCTGTCAAAAGCAGAAACAAAGTTATCGTTGTTGTCTTTTGCCTGTACAGAACATGTAAAACACTAGGAGGCATTGCATCATGCAATTACTTGCATTATCCTTTTAGCTCCATTTTCTGTAAGGAAATTCTGTTCTACGCAATCCGCAATGCCCTCTGGTAAACCATTTACACAGATGAAAGCTGCCCTTTAGGGCTAGTCAGCTTTGTTCAGCAACAGGGAGGTAAGGTGACATTCTATGTTAACATGAATCTACACACTGTAATGTGTCTGTATATTGATATTACTTTTCCAGGCACGATGAGTCCACATATAGCACAAAAGGACATGAATTCCTCAGTTAACAGACTGGTTAAAAATGAGGATTAACATTCTAAAATCCCCCGATTCCCACAGCAGTACTTGTAGTTATGTGCTCATGTTACTTCTGTCATAGCATTGTAATTAAGTGCCCTGCGTCGCTTGATTTTCTTATTTAATACGTGGTTCAGCAAAGGCATTGCAATTCTTTGGTTCTTCCCTGAGATAGCAAACAATAGTGAGGAGGAAAGCTATTTAAAGAGTTATGGAAAGTACTTTACTGGTGTCAGTTTTTGTGCGAGAATTTCTCATGCCTTTTCTATCGGGTGACAGGCATACAGCGGCAGCAAAAGAAGGCAGACTGGGCGTGCGTTAACCATTTTTCACCTTTGCCTTTTGAAAGTTATGTCATTTATTCAGAGCGGTGTTTTAGTGTAGCTGAAGATGTAATTACCTGAAAAAAGTGTGTGTGGGTGTGAGAGTTTGAATTGCAAAGATAAGTATTATATCCACAAAGAAAATATACAAGGGCTGAATGTCAATTTCAAGATTCAGAACAATTCTCAAGTGGGAAAGTAGCTGCTTTGGTTGCAGAGATAAAACCTAGGGCTGAGAGTTGCAAAGTTGCCTGAGATCTGCATGATGAATTCCTTTTGAAAAGCAATGTAAATTGCTGTCCACATCTCCGAGGTGGCTTGGAAAATCTTCATTTGGGAGATCTAAAAAGTGTAATTATGTTAATACTGGATAATCCCCAGTGTAAGCCCACTGACAAAGTACTCTACTTAGGAAGGAACAACCAGTGTCTCTCCTACAGAATGGGAAGTGACTGCCTAGGAAGGAGTATGGCAGAAAGGGATCTAAGGGTTCAGAGTGGACCACAAGCTAAACATGAGTCAACAGCATGACGCTGTGGCACAAAAAGTGAATAAACATGATTCTAGGATGCACTGACAGGAGTGTTGTGAGTAAGACACGAGAAGTCATTCTTCCACTCTACTCTGCGCTGATTAGGCCTCAGTTGGAGGATGGTATCTAGTTCTGGGCACCGCATTTCAAGGAAGATGTGGAGACATTGGAGAAGGTGCAGAGAAGAGCAACAAAAACGATGGAAAGTCTAGAAAACATGAGTGAGGAGGAACGACTGAAGGACTTGGGCTTGTTTAGTTCTAGTGCTCTACGTGTTCCCACATCCGGATCTGACCCTTCCCTCCGCTGAGGCAGAGCAGAGGGATGGAGTTCTCCTTTGAGTTCCTTTCACCCAGCAGGCACCAGCAGGGTGAGCGGCCCTAAGCTGTGAGAGGCACTCTGTGCGTGCGCGTGCCGGGATTTCACCTCTGGTTTTGCAAAGGAAGCCCTGAGCTAGTGCCCGGGGAGGCCGAGGGAGAATGCCATTCAAGGGAGAACAAGATCAATCCAATTCCTTCTAGAAGGAAAAAAAAATAGGAAATCATCTGAACCTTTGTTTCAACAAACTCGGATGTGTTAGTCGATCCAGGGCACTGGTTCCCAACCGTTTCGAGCACGCGGGCCCCTTTTCAATCGATTCAAATATTATGGACACCCCAAACAACATCGCTGTTTTCAAGCAATATCGTGGCCCGGCCTTTCGCTGTTCTGGGTCAAGGGGAGTGGCAGCCAGCACGTCCCTTGGACCCGCTGCTTCCTCAGTTCTGGTCCCTTCACCATCCATCGAGGGCATGGCAAGGGGGCTCTTGTGGCCAAAGGCAGCTCCTGCCCCGGCACTCTGCCCTTGGCTGGGCCCGGAGCCCTGGGGGAGAAAAAAGAGGAAAAGGAAAAGAAAAGGACAGATCGGGCCTACCGCAGGACTCGGAGGGGGGAGAGGGCAGGAGCAGAAATGGCAGCACAGCTGGCGGTGGGAGAACGGATGGGGGCGAACGGCGAGCCCCGGGTGAGAATCGCCTGGCAGAAAGTCCCAGTCCTGAGGTGGTCCCCATCCTTACTTTTAAACTTTCCGTGGCCCCTCTACAGTACCATCGCGGACCACCAGGGGGCTGCGGACCACCTGTTGGGAACTACTGATCTATGGGAAGCTCCTGTCTTTTCCAAGATACAAAATCCCCCATCCCCATCCCCGAGCAGGCATTAAACTATTAAACGAGAGCCGTATGGGTGCTGGGTGAAATCCCAACTGCGGAAGGTGAGACACAGCCCCGCCCCTTCTGAGCAAGGCCCCGCCCCTGGAGCCAAGCCCCACCCACCCCCAGCCTGATCCTGCTTGGCCATGTGGAGAGCCGGGGCTGTCGTGATGCCCCCGGCCCTCCCCAGTGGCAGGGGAAAGCCACACTGCCCACCACGGCCCCATCCACCCCCTTCGCCAGGCTACTGAGCTGGCCTGTGGTCAGCAGGAGTCAGGCTGCCATGCCACGATTTCAGCCTTCCCCGGGGGCTGCCGGGCTACTGTGCCGCAAGCCAGCCTTCCCAAGGGGCAGTCAGTCATGTAGGCAATTTTGGGAAGGGCGTGCCTTCCCTTGCCTCCATTACCGCCTGCCTGTGAGTGCACATTCCTCTCCCTTCCCCATTCGGCTTTGATCATCACAGCTATCAGTCCTCGTCTTCTCTCCAGCAAAGCATTGCAATGCGCTCCCGGGCTCCCGGCCCACTCACACGAATGCTGCGCACCGTGCCCTAAGCTCCTTGGGCTTAGATGGGAAAAAATCTTTTTGACAAATGGAGTGAGTTATTGGCTGCAGGCCTCCACCAGATGACTGCAAATAGTCTCTTTCCTTTAGAAATGGCTTCGTTGTGTGTTTCCAAGACGTAATGAAATGTCTGACAAAGTATAATAGCAAACAAAATATGTGTCACAATTCTGTATGAGTTTTTCTTATGGCTTTTATGCAATGAGACAGGTATACAGATGCATCAGACCACAGTATTTCATCTTAGCTTGGGCGAGGAAGTCAGATCTTTTATTGAGACAGGCCTGGTAGGGTCGTTTCGATGTAATTACTAGAAGCAGGAAAAAAAAAAAAGATGGAGGCGACAGTAAATATAATTAAATACCAAATTTAAATGCAAAATGCCATTTTGAACATTCAGAACGGTTCTCAAGTTTGCAAAGGGAAGAGACGTCGGTTTATTTTGCTAAAGCAAAGTTTTGACATTCTGAAGGCTAGCAGTCCCTTATGACTAATGTTCCCCCTACTCCAATCCATCCATAGGTGGATTGTTCCATCCACGTGCAGAATAAATTACATTCCATGCACCGAGGCATGTGTAAATGTGCACCACCAGTAGAAACAAAAAACTTAGCTGTGGGCACTCTGCTAACTAGCTGGGCATCATTAGAATCTCTCCTGAGCGGCTGGGAACAAGAATGAGAAGTTGGCATTTGTGTTGGAGGGAGAAAGGCCACAACAGACATTGAAGCTGAAGGCCTTGAGGGTTACAGGTGAGGCTGGCCTCAGAAATGTGGTGATCAGGAAAGGTGATCCAGTCTCTTGGATGAGTGCTTCTCTCTGAGCCATGCAAAACACTTTCTCCAGAACTCAGCAACTAGAGAAGACTTAGACAATCCAAGCAGGTTGTATCTACTCTGCCCCAACTATTGTCCTTCAACCAAGCTTCATAAAGTAGAACACGGCTGTCCATTTCCCCCGTCTCCTGCAACTCCCAAACACTTCCTCTTCAATTATGGATTATGTAGTTACCAGACAGACTCAGAGGGGCAATTGCTACTAAAGAAGAAAAGATCATGCAAAATCCAAACAGAGGTGAAAAAACTGGAGAAGTTTCACAGAAGAGATCAACAATGATGAAAGGTCTAGAGAACATGAGCTATGAGGCAAGGCTGAAGAAATTGGGCTTGTTTGGTTTGGAAAGGAGAAGACCGAGAGGGGACATCATAGTGGTTTTCAGGTCTCTAAAAGGGTGTCACGGAGAAGAGGGGGGAAATTGTTCTTCTTGGCCTCTGAGGATAGGACAAGAAGTAATGGAATTAAACTGCAGCAAGGGCGGTTTAGGTTGGACATTAGGAAAAACTTCCCACCTGTCAGGGTGGTTAAACACTGGAATAAATTGCCGAGGGAGGTTGTGAAATCTCCATCTCTGGAGATATTTAAGAGCAGGTTAGCCAGACACTGGTCAGGGATGAACCTTAGTCCTGCCACAAGGGCAGGGGGCTGGACTTGATGATCCCTCGAGGTCCCTTCGGGTTCTAGGATTCTATGACTAGAGCAAGGTGCAGAAGGAGACCTGATTTAGGAAGACTGTCATCAAGCAATGCATGGAGAGCATAAACCAAGCTTGACATTTGCCACACGTCTCTGCGGGTTTCACGTAGTGGCTGGATTTTGCAGTGGGATGGGGAAAAAGGCACTGTGCCAGGATACTATATCGTCAGTGCAAAGTGAGGCTTGGGGCTGTGAAACAGAATGCAATAGCAACACGTTTGGAAATGGAAACCGTAAGCAACCTTTGAAAAGAGCTGTAGGCTGCGAACTGTATTGATTGTACGAAGGGAGGGGAATGAGGGATGGGTAAGAAAGTGCATGTTGCTACATTTCTCCTCCCAGGTGAAAAATGCTGCCTTATGAATTCCGAGTTGTTGATGCAAAAGGGGGTTTGTTTATCGGATGCAGAAGTGGAAAGGAACACGAGG